CGAACTGCTGAACTGCAGTCAGCTGAAGTAGCCTGCAGTGCTGCATTTAACCACTGCGCCACCTAGGCTCTACAATTTAATAAAATACAAATTTTAATAAAATTTAATAAATTTTAATAAAATACAAATTTTATTAAACTTGGAAACTTGGGGATAGCCAGGAACAAGTTTCCTAGGAAAATAGTGCAAATTGTATGTATAGGTCCAATTGTATGTGATTGTTTCTTGCTCTCATCAATTAGAAACTGGTATCAAGGACATCTCTATGAAAGGCCTATTCCAGAGAATGGCTGGACTTGAATTTGGGAAGATAGAGATCGTGACTGGGTGGAAACTTATTCAAATGCAAAGTTGGTTGGCTTTGAAAGTGTAGCCAGAACTTCTTACATTTCCCAGAGATACAAAATTGGTTGCAAGTCAGGTTTATCCATGCAAAAATACAGTTATGCAGTATATACACTCAATTATTTTTTGCTTATATTACAAAAAGATGCATTCCATAGAAGATCAGAAAGGTTAAGCCACAACAAATTAGATTTTTATTAATATCATTTTTTCTCTCAAGCTATTTATTCGAATTCCCAACTCTGCCCAAAATAAAAACGTAACAATTTATAGCTACCTACCATGGCTGAGAAGAATAGTCTACTGGCTTAGGTACCTAAAATAAGATCAACAGGTTAAAACAAAATACAATTAAATGTAATAAAATGAATTGCAAAAGAAATCAATGAAATAAAATACCATCAATGATTTTTGCCCATTTTCAAAAAATGATTAAATTAGCCACTTTGCATTATGGGCTGTTGGTCTGAGCTGCAAGCATGGCAGCCAATCAAAGAGTCCAAACTCAGATCATAACTCACAAATAGCGGAACAAACAACATCTCCGCTAATTTGCATCACATAAAAATATATTTTTATCTGGCAGATCTGACGGATGATCACACTTCAAAGTGCACTGATGATGTCTCCTTGAATGGTGATGAAACGTTTGCCACCAAATGAGCCAAGCTCAGCATTCAGACAGCCCAACTATCAATCCAAGCTACTTATATTCAAACAGATATCAACTTTGCATTATTTATGGCACTGTTGTTCAATATTTTAGTTTCTACAATCAAGTTTTAAAAAATTATGTTTAGGTGACATGATGCTATCCTAGTTATATCAGTTAATATCAGGAGTTTTCTTACTTAAACTTGGTAATTAAATTCACCATCAAATGCCCATATACTAGAATTTGCACCAAAGTAAATTAAGTATCCAAGCAAAAGAGCAAGATTTTATAACAAATTTGTTATAAAGTTGACCCACCAAATATTGGATCACCTGTCTACCGTTTTCTGTTCAGACATACTGATTTTTCATTCTACAGCGTTACAGACAGAATCAAGCAAAGCAGGAATAATCAAAAATATATTTTCCACCTATCCGGAGAACAAAAGAGCAAGAAAAATACGGTTGCTGTTTTCAAAAGCAGTCATGCACCCTTTTTAATGCCTATTCTCAGTCTAAATATGTACTGTTATGTGCATAAAAAGTTCATCAACTAGATTTTACATTTCAAAGAGAGGAACTAAAAAAAGTACAATCCACTTCAGACGGAGCACACTTGAACTCTATCAAGGCTAGTTATTAAACAATTACACTGTGTCTTATGATTTCATTGAACAAATCAATATTTTATTAGTACTTCAATTATCCTCTTATTTTCAAAGATTTATCTTTTTATCTAACATCATTGCATTGGTCTAGACATAATGTAATATTAATTGCAATTTTCCCAGGGATTTTAGTTCTATACTTTAGCAATAGCAATAGCAATAGCAGTAGACTTATATACCGCTTCATAGGGCTTTCAGCCCTCTCTAAGCGGTTTACAGAGAGTCAGCATATCGCCCCCACAATCTGGGTCCTCATTTTACCCACCTCGGAAGAATGGAAGGCTGAGTCAACCTTGAGCCAGTCAGGATTGAACTCCTGACTGTGGGCAGAATTAATCTGCAATAACAATAGCACTAAGACTTATATACCGCTTCATAGGCCTTTCAGCCCTCTCTAAGCGGTTTACAGAGAGTCAGCATAACGCCCCCACAATCTGGGTCCTCATTTTACCCACCTCGGAAGAATGGAAGGCTGAGTCAACCTTGAGCCAGTCAGGATTGAACTCCTGACTGTGGGCAGAATTAGC